GGGATGGGGGTAATGAGCAGGGACCTGGTGGTGTCCCCCACCTTGTCCCCAGCCCGGGGAGGACCTGGAGCCAGGGACCAGCCGAGTGTCCCTCTCTGACCCCACTCTTTGCCTTTGCCAGGGTGACACCAAAGCCCCGAGGAGCGGCGCGGTGCCGGGTGGGTGCTGCCGGGGCACGGGGCCAGGGCTGGGGGACCTGGGGGAATGGGGACATCAAGGGTGATGGGGACACCAGGGGTGATGGGGACCCTGGGGGTGATGGGGACCTTGGTGGGTGATGGGGATGCCAGGGACAATGGGGACCCTGGAGGTGCTGGGGACCCCAGGGGTGACGGGGACCTGGAGGATGATCGGGATCCCCGGGGTGATGGGGACATGGGGATGACGAGGACACCAGGGACAATGGGTGCCGTGGAGGCGATGGGGACCCCAAGGAGTAATGGGGACCCTGAGGCATGATGGGCACTCCAGGGGTGATGGGGACCCCGAGGGACAATGGGGACCTGAAGGGTGATGGACACCCAATGGGTGGTGGGGACCTCAGGGATAATGAGGACCTCAAGGCGTGATGGGGACCCCAAGGGGTGATGGCAGGACGTGGGGACCGTGGGGTGGCCTGGGGGTAGGGACGGGGACACTTGGACACAGGGATCCTGGAGGGTGCCCAGTGCTGGGGGACAGCATGTGGGGACCTCGGGCTGTGCACCCCAAGACCCCTGGGGCTGGGGGACATGGGGACTGGTGTCCAGGATCTCACCCTGTGGTGGCATGTGGCTCCGGTGAGGGAGCTGGGCAGCGTCACCCCACCCCCTGGTAACCCTGTCCCGGGTTGTCCCATCCCTTGTGGTCACCCCGTACCCCAATGACCTCATCCCCTGGTGCCCTTCTCTCACTGGTGACCACAGCTGTCCTGGTGACCCCATCTCCTAGTGACCCACACCCCTGGTGACCCCATCCCATAGTGACCCACACTACTGGTGACCCCATGCCCCTGGTGACCCTATCCCATGGTGACCCACACCGCTGATGACCCCATGCCCCTGGTGACCCCATCCCATGGTGACCCACACCTCTGGTGACCCCATGCCCCTGGTGACCCCATCCCATGGTGACCCACACTGCTGGTGACCCCATCCCCTCATGACCTCATCCCCTGGTGACCCCCACTATTCCCTTCAGAGGGTGACGGGAGTGATGTCCTCTCCCCGGACATGGCCACCGATAGCCACGAGGGCCTCATCCAGCCCAGGAAGGTGCCAAACCCAATGCGGGAGTCCCGGACCCACCGGGAGATGCACCGGGAGCTGCTCTTCAGCCACAGCAGGTGAAGGGGGATGGGACCTGGGACGTGGGGATGGGACAGTCCCCCGACGGTGGCCAGGCAGGGGTGGTCCCACTGAGGTCCGTCTGTCCGTCCCCACAGGGGGATCCTGCCTCGGCACAAGGCTGAGCTCCCGCGGGTGCTGGAGAGCCGGCGGTTGAGGCAGCTGAAGGAGGAGCTGCGGGGTCCTCCCTCTGACCTGGAGCAGCAGCTGAGGAAACGCCACCAGAGGCTTGAGGAGGTCTGTGCCGTCCCTCTGTCCCCTGTCCGTCTGTCCCAGCCCTCCATCCCTACATGCTGCCCAGCCCTCCTGCCTTCACCTCACCGTTCTCCATCCATCCATCCATCCATCCATCCATTGTCCCACGCATTCATCCACCTGTGCCACCACCCATCCACCCCTTCCTCCCTTCATGCATGCATGTGTCTGTCCATCTGTCCATCCATCCATCCATCCATCCATCCATTCACCCACCTGTGCCACCATCCATCCATCCTTCCTCCCTTCATGCGTGCATGTGTCCATCCATCCATCCGTGTATCCATCTATCCACCCATCCATGTATCCATCCATCCGTGTATCCATCTATCCACCCATCCATGTATCCATCCATCCATCCGTCTGTCTGTCCATCTGTGTATCCTTCCATCCATCCATCCGTTTATCCATCCATCCATCCATCTGTCCATCCATCCGTCTGTCCATCCATTCGTGTATCCATCCATCCATCCATCCGTGTATCCATCCGTCCATCCACCTGTCCATCCATCCATCTGTCTGTCCATCCATCTATGTATCCATCTATCCATCCATCCATCCATCC